TTTTACGTGATTGTAAATTTTTATCATTTCTATTACGTGAATAGTAAAATTCACGTGGGGCCCACACCGGATGTGGGGCCACCCGATATTATCGGGACCACATATTATATTAATCTTGGACTATATAATATGCATATGGTGGTGGATATCCAAATTGGGCCATGACGATGACACAAGGTTGACCGGTTGGTCAAACGGGCCAAATTATCGGTATCGGAAAATTTATCAGATAACAGCCCAAAAAGGGGTTTCGGAGACTTCTAAATTAAAGTTGGGGAATTCATATTGATTCTAAGGTCCAATAAGGATTGGGAACAAGTGTTATATTTTATTTGACCCGATAAAATAAAATGTAATTAAAACAGTCCGGAAAATACAACTTTCGGGACTGATTCTACACTTGGGGACATAAAGGGATGACCTCCCACATGGGTGGGGGCCACCCCACGAATTTAGTGCTGCAGATGTCAAGGGAGCCGCACAAATAGAAGGGGGAAGGGAAAGAGAAGGGGTTGAGGGGAAAGGCATTAAATGGAGTAGGGCCTCCCACATGCCATGATTGTGAGAAATGCCAAGAAGGCATTCTCAATCATACCAACCCACCCCATTTCGTATCAGGCATCAACCAAGTGAGAGGATCTCTGCAAATAAACCATTTTCATCCATCATACACGCACCAAGTTAAGGGAGGAAGAAGAAAGGGAAAAGAGAAGAGAAAAGAGGAGTTTAGGTGGGAAAACTTGTGTTTAACAAGGTAATGACTCCATTAATCCTATTTCTTGTTCTTCAATCCTCTTATATGATTATTCAATCATATTTCACCCCTAGTATTGCTCTACACGTTGGGATGTGTAGAAAGGGGGGTTGGAAGGTGGTTCTAAGTCCAAGAACGGACTTAGAAGCCAAAGTAGCCGGTTCGCCGGAAAATGACCTTTTGGAGGTTATTTGTATTACTATGGGTTTTATGATGATAAAACCTTGTTAGTAACTTGTCTAAGGTATTCAAGGAACTTTCTCGGAGTTGAAAAGGTCGCCGGAGTTGTCACCGGAGTTCGTCGAAGTTCGCCGGAGTTTCGCCGGAGCCAAATCGGGAAGGCTAGAACCTCATATGCTTCATTAAGGTGAGAAGATGGCTTTATGCTTTATAACTTTTGCGTTAGGCATGAGATTACCTAAAGTAATCAAGGATATGTTTTGTGGAATGATTAAAGATAATCAAGTATTTGCTTATGCCATGATTTTGCATAAAACATAGTTGAAAAGCATGTTATGTAGGTTTGGTGATTAAAAATGTGATAAAATATTTTGTGTGATGATCCAGGGGTCCAAAATGGTATTTGTGGATCGAGGACATCAATAAGTGTATGTGTATAAAATTTCAAGTTAATCGGACTCCGTTTGGGTGGTCAAAAGGGGCGTTGACCGCCAAGTCAACTGCCATACCCGATCGGGTATTGACACATACCCGACCGGGTATTTGCTGAAAAATTGCCCAGGGGACTACTGTCTCCTATACCCGATTGAGTATAGGTAGATACTCGATCGAGTATACATGGAAAATTAGCTTTGGGGGCTACCGCCTCCTGTACTCGACCGAGTATGGGTAGATACTCGATCGAGTATTGGTTTATGCTCAAAACGGGCAGTTTTGAGCGGGTTAATGTGGGCCGTTCAGGTGGGACCCGCCCACGTTGGTTCCTAAGGATGGTTATATGACTATAGGGCTAGGTATTGTCCATAGTTGAAGGAACGAAAGGTTAGCCATATCCAGGTTAGGGTTTGGTAAGGATTTAGTTTGGGGTTGAGCATCCCCGGGACATTAAATGATTCTGAAACTCGGTTGGGGTTGAGCATCCCCGGGACTATACATGATCCTGAAACTCGGTTGGGGTTGAGCATCCCCGGGACTGCAAATGATCCTGAAACTCGGTTGGGGTTGAGCATCCCCGGAACATTTAATGATCCTGAAACTCGGTTGGGGTTGAGTATCCCCGGGATGCTAAGTGCTCCCAAAACTCGGTAGGATTATATAAATGTAGAATGTAGCTAGTGAGCTAGGCATTCGGGAAAGGGTGAGAAAGGTCAGGTAAGAACTTTATCTCTAAAAGACTCTTTGAATGAAATGACCTACGGGTCGAGTATTTTACATATATATATATATATATATATATATATATATATATATATATATATATATATATATATATATATATATATATATATATATATATATATATATATATATATATATATATATATATATATATATACAGTATGTATCATCGGATGAACGAGTCACATATATATATGTAACACCCTATTTTTGGGTCTCGTGTCTGAAACATTAGTTATTCTTCATATAGCATGCTTGTCACTAGTACTTCTATGGAGTACTGACCCCTCCGGGGGCCCTCACATTTTTCAGGTTGAGGCTAGGGTCCTACTACCTGCACCTTTGCCTAGGGTGATCGATCGAGAAGGAAGACGTGGTTCGTGCTTCCATTCATATTTCAAATGTATAATCTGCTCATGGATTTTTGAACAATATTTTCATTAAAACAGTTGGGGCCTGCGTGCCCGTGTTTGCCACGTGTGGCTAAGTATCAAACATTTTATTATTCCGCATTTGTTTGATTATGATATTGATGTTGATTGTATGTGTTTACTAATCGGTTTGACAATAGAATCAATCAGACGCCTTGTACAATCCAATAGGGATGAACTGTTGTTGTTCTTATCGGGTTGTACGGCGGTTGTCTACGTGGCTCGGATGCGGTCCGGGGCGTGACAGAACATATGCCGCAGACCTTGACTTCTTTTGTTTTTGGATTTAAGAGAAAATCTTTAACCAAAGAAGTCAAGCCGGCCACTTGACTTTCCAACGAGGTGTTAGATTCTGCCGCCATAACTCTTTTTGATGACCGCCGATCATAGTGTCTACAATTCTCGGCCAACTCCGAGATAAGATTCCTAGCTTGAGAAGGGGTTTTGTTTACAATTCTTCCTCCACATATGGCGTTGATCATCCGCCTATCATTATTGCAAAGACCATCATAGAAGTATAGGATGAGGTCTTGCTCCGAATAGCCGTGGTATGGACAGCTTGCACAAAGTTTCTTGAATCGTTCCCAATATTCGTAGAACGATTCATCATCTTTCTGCTCTACATTGCTGATTTGCTTTTTGAGAGATGAGGAGACAGAGGCAGGATAGTACCTTTCGAGGAAAGCTTTCTTCATGGCCGTCCATGTACCTATACTTCCCGAAGGAAGATAGAATAGCCAATCTTTTGCGGTATCTTTTAGGGAGAACGGAAAAGCCCTCAACTTAATTTGCTCCTCTGTAACACCGTTCGGGCACATGCTTGTGCAAACGATGTGGAATTCCGATAGATGTTTGTTTGGGTCCTCGCCCCGTAGACCATGGAATGAAGGAAGGAGATGGATGAGCCCCAATTTGAGCTCAAAGTTGCAACAACATGAATTCCTTCCAATCATTGGTCTACATCTGTAATAGACGAGCCCTATGGAAGTTCTCGCGAGTCATGAAGACTTGCAACTGACTCTAAAAGTGCGTCTGTGTCCTAGAAAATTCAAAACATTTAGGAGTGAGGTAACTAGACACGACATGATCAATGAAAGTTCAGTGGCATGGGGCTGAGGCCACTGTAGTCAGTATCACTTTCATCGGAAGGAGACGGTAATGAGAGACGAGGTTCCCCGTGAAATATGATTAAACATATGTCAGTTGGGAGACAAGTGAGTGGTCTTGTGTATGGTTAAGCATGCACTGTTGGACAAGATGCAGCGACTCTCTATCCGGGATCTGATTAAATCAGTCTTGAACCCACGTGGATTGTCCATAGTATTTGAGTGGCTAGGAGTAAATGTTCAATTGATAGCAGGCAGTTGAGGTAGCAGACTTATCATTGATTATTGTTTTCTTACTCACTTGAGCCTTCTGCTTCCTAACACTCATAATGTTCACTCACTCGCTCACTCACTAACTCTCGGCTTTGTCCCTTAGGTAGACTTAGTTGGGTTTAGTAAGCCATATGGACATGTTCTCTCATTAATTTTTTGATTTTCTCTCTGTACTCACCCTCAACTGGAGCACTCGACATGCTTTGTCATTGTTAGGCACCGGGGAGGAGAACATTGAACACTCCCTCTAAAATGTTGCATCCTTTGAGAAATTCCTTGCTTTGTCGTTGTAAGGCGCTAGGAGGAGAAAACTGACCCCCCCTCAGAATGTGCAAGGATTGATTGCTCACAGCTTGTCATACTCGTCATGTGTGTGGGGCATTCTGAACAAGTACCACACATGACGATTTTCCTAAACTTATCATTTAGAATTTCAGCATATTGATGATCACACAATGTTGATGAGTTAGGGGAGGCTTCAGCAGTTGATTGTTGATTGTCGTAAGATAACCGTTGATGCGAGGTTGATTGAATTATCTACGATTTCTGGACCTCTGAGGTGTAGTTTAGAAAAGCTTTGACCTACCCGCACGGGTAGCTCAGTTGGTCGAGTGGTGGGAGATTTGGAACAATGGACCAAGGTTCGAATCCCCGCAGCGACCGGGTGGAGGTCACAGAACCTGAAATAAGGATGGGCCTCTGGTGCGCACGGGTGTATGAGCCTACTGCCATTCTGCTGACTGAGTCACCGTGACTAACCTCCCCACCATCCTGTCGGATCGGGGTGGAGGGGCTCCTGGGGTGGGAGATTCCACCTTTTGGAACAATAGAAAAGCTTTGACCTTAGGTTTGACTTTGGAAGAATTTTAATAGATTTGCCTAAATTTTGACCTTGACATCGATGATTGACAATGTACCTCGGAAAGCTAAGGATATCTCCCCCTCAAGTACGGCGAGTGAGCGTGCGTGGTTGGGGGTTTTGGGGTAAACCCCTTGGTATTCGATCCTTTTGAATCAGCCTTGGGGTAAACACCCGACTGTGGGTGTATTTGCCGAATTACCCCTGCATTTTATAAAACGGACGGTATTTTATCTGACGGGAAAAAGCATGAACAGAACAGAAGTAACAGACGGTAAGAGCGGAAGCACAGTGAGAAAGTGAAATCCGAAATCTCCATCAGAAATTGAAGAAGAGATAGGCTCAATGCTCTGCCTTGATCGCTCTTTGCTGCGGATCCTGTAAACCCTAATATTGGGCTGTATAACGATCTCTAAATATTGATACACTGGAAATATCTATAGTTACATTGATTGGTGATTTGGTGAACCATGGCATATGTAAAGGTTGTCAACAGATCGGCTACGGCTGCATTCGCGCCGGAAGGTACGTATGTGGCTGCTGGGACGATGGCTGGGGCGGTGGATCTGTCGTTCAGCTCGTCGGCCAACCTCGACATTTTCAAGCTCGACTTCGGATCAGATGATCAACAGCTCATCCCAGTTGGCTCGGTTTCCAGCTCCGAGCGCTTCAATCGTTTGTCTTGGGGGAAGGCTCTTCCCAATTCCGAGCAGTTCTCTCTCGGGATCATCGCTGGTGGACTCGTTGATGGCAACATTGGGCTGTGGAATCCGAGGAATATGCTGTCGTAATGTCCAACACATCTTTGTCTGTTTTGGATTAGTCTCTTCCAGATATGAACTGTTTATTTCGTGTTACTGGCTATTGTCTTATTGAATTTGGTTATTTGTTTATCATGGTTTGCTAAACATTAGCCCTTAATTGAAATTGACTGCCATTTTTAATTTGAACCTTTTTAGAGGAGCTGGAGAATGTCTATCATCTCATATTCTGTTTGAATCCAAACAATTTTTTGTCAATTGTAACTGTCAATTTCTTTCATATATTTCAGTTTCAGAAAGATGTGCATTTTAAGGCTTTGGAATGAAATTGGTTCATTTAGACTTCAGAATGTTGGGGGCTTCTTTTTAAAATCACTTCTAGTCATTTTTCTTGAGCTATGTAATCACAGAAAAATAACTGTTTCTTGACATCATGGGATCACGTTAAAAGTTCATTACCCTAGAAAGAATTATTTCTTGACATTATTGGATCACATGGTCTTCATATTTGAAATTAAAAAACCCAGAGTATTTCCTTGCAGTTGAAATGAACCATAGACAATATTTTAGTTGTTTTTGTATCAGAAGATGGAAATTAGAGCAAGTTACTTAATAATTGATTTTACTTCTATAACACTAGATTTATCATTTTTGATTGATTTATCATTCCCATGCATTATTGTCTTCTTCCAAAAATGTCTGTTTTTAATATCCACTATCCATGATGTTATTAAGTTTTGTTTGTCTTCCCACACTAGCTCTGGTGCGAATCATACGGGTGGTGCTGATGCTACTGCAAATGCTTTTATTGGTCCTCACCTTTCAAAGCATAGTGGGCCAGTATGTATCTAACCTGTGCATGTTGTACAGATGTTGCCCTTTGTCATTCCCTTTTGTGGGGAACCTGATGATATCATATATTTCTCTCGTTTTCAAATGTTTCAGGTTCATGGTTTGGAGTTTAATTCTTTTACTCCAAACCTCCTTGCTTCTGGTGCTGATGAAGGTGAAATCTGCATATGGGACATTTCACATCCCGCTGAACCAACCCATTTTCCTCCTCTGAAGGTCTGTATTATCTAACGCTAAAAAAGAAATTGTATGCATATTTAGTTTTGACTTTGTCCAGAAGTATTATATCTCCCCTTGTTTTAATTTTCCGAAGTTAAAAATAAGAAATAGAGCAATCAGTTGCTCCTTGCCTCCTAAGTACTTTCACATCATAATCTAGGATGCATAATTAAACTGTATTCCAATATGGTTTCTTTCACTGGAAAAATTTTATTGAATGATTTTGAGGAAATGGTAAAATAAGCTCACTCAGTCCCTTACTAAGCTAGAATGCTTAATTGGCACCTCAACAACAAAATCCTCAATTAGTCATCTGAATACCAGAGTGTGTAAAACCATGTTTCCCAGTTTCCTGGCCTTACATCTAAGTGCACAAATCCTAATCATTTGTTGTCAGTTGTCACACCCCTCACGCATTGCAATCATATAAATAGGGAAGTCTGCTGGAATTTAAAGGACTGAAGCACATACTTTGCAATAAATATCAACCAAAAAGCGAACAGTTGAAGCATCCATAAAGAATATAAAAACTACTGAAATCCCGGGTTTCTACGGTAAATAACAACAACATCCAAGCCTTAGTCTCAAAAGATATTGGGGTCGGCTAACATGAATCGATACATGATATCACCACCAAAAGGAAAAGAAAGAAAATAAAGATAAAAAAGATAAGCTATGATAAAAAGATAATATAAAAAGAGATGAATTTGCATAAAAATGATAAAATAAAAAGGATACAAATAATGCTTATATATATAAGGATAAAAATAAGGAAAAAAGATGAGGGGAAAAGATGATACGAGATCACTCCTACACACGAATACCCGCCCTCCACTTAGCTCTCTCCAAAGTCATGCCCTCATCCAACCCCAGAAGAAGCATATCACTTCGAACTCCTCTAACCCACGTTTGTTTGGGTCTTCCTCTCCCTCTCTTCCCTGCCTCTTCTCCACACATCTCAACTCGTCTGACAGGTGCATCACTCGGTCTTCTTCGCACATGACCAAACCACCGTAAGCGCGATTCCCGCATCTTGTCTTCAGTAGGTGCTACTCCCACCATTTGTCTGATTGTCTCATTCCTCACGTGGTCCTTCCTAGTATGCTCACACATCCAACACAGCATGCGCATCTCTGCCACACTCATCTTTTGATTGTGACATTGTTTCACCGCCCAACACTCTACGTTGATTTACTTGCGTGATATGCCTTTTCTACTTAAGGCCAACCAAAGAACTTCTCGAGGTACCCTACCATATGCCTTTTCTAAGTCAATGAACACCAAATGCAGATCCTTGTGAGCGTCTCTATACTTCTCCATAAGTTGCTGAAGAAGGTGAATGACCTCCGTTGTTGAGCGACCAGGCATAAAACCGAATTGATTCTCTGAAATCTTCACAGTTCTTCGAAGTCTTTGCTCAATCACTCGCTCCCAAAGTTTCATGGTGTGACTCATAAGCTTGATAGTTGGCACATTCTTGTACATCACCTTTATTCTTAAATAAGGGGATAAGAGTACTCTTCCTCCAACTCGTTACAAGTGAGTGGAAGTCTTGATACAAGTGAGTGGATGAATTGAAGAAGCTAAAACACCTTGAATTGCACTACAGGGCAAGAGTGTATGCAACCTGTTTCTATTAGAGTTAAACTATACTATCATTTCTTTCGAACAAAACTTATGGTCTTTTTTGAGATATACATAAATGTTTAGGGATTGCGTAACAAGGGAACCTGACATGAAACTAATAATTCAAAGTGAAGGACAATAACATTTCGTAATGATGATAGTATCATACAATCTAGAGCATCCGATAGACATTAAATTGTGGTAGTGCCAATAGAGAGCAGAAATAAAACTTTCTGGCAGATATAAAGGAGAGCACATCCTTAATGTGATCACCTGACATTCAACAAGGTGGTTCTTGGTTCTATTAGAGTTAACTCTACTTACTTTTCCCTGAACAAATGTGATGATCTTTGTTCGAATTCACACATTGTTTAGGGATTGTGTGCTAGGAAAGGAGAGTACGAGACCTGAAGTTAACAATTCAATGTGAAGGCAGTTACATTTGTGATGATGGTGCCGTAAGATAATAGAAATAACATTGGCCTATAAAATGTGATAGTTCTGCACAAACTCTTGAAGTTTTGGCAGTGAAGACTGAAGAGTATCAACTGTAGTGGAAGTAACTCAAATATTGATAATATGTGCTAGTTAACAACCAGAGTATATAGCCACAATGGAGACACAAGAAGTCTCACCTTTCAGTACAAACCAAAAACCAATAAATATAAATACATATATATGTATATATGCGTGTAGATTTCGGATCAAGTGAATACATCTAATGTGAGAAATGAGAATGAATCTCAGCCGTTAGATTTATGGTGTTGCCCAAAAAATAGTTTAATGTTGCGGTAGGATTTAAATTTTATAATGTTGCACTAAAACTGTTTCACGTTACACTAAAATTTGACGATGTTGTACCAAATTAGCTTCATGTTGCCCTAGACAAATTTAATATGGATTCTTCAGAAGTATTTATGAAAATGTCACCGTTCTAGGTTGCACGTTTCACTGCTAACATGAAGTTAGTTTTACTGCAACACTATCTATCAAACAACTGAGATTCATTCTTATTTCTCACATAGAGGCTTCTGTTTATTGGAATTTGGAACCTCACCCTATGTGTGTATATGTAGATATTTGTAAGGTTTGAAGTCCTCCTTTTAATTTCTTATGGTTCAATAATATTTGATAAATGATGCCCAACATGGACCTCACTTATTTTGTGGCTTACCTTCTTGGTTTACTCACTAACACACACAAACACACACAGTTACATACATATGTACAATATAAGGAAGTTTACTCTTACCCGTGAAGTTAGGTCATAGCTACTAGTTACACAAAGCCATAGTTAGTTAAATACGGTACGGGAATTAAACGAGGTTTAATACGTACGCGTTTTATTCGGTAACATGAATGAAAAAACGGTCAAAAATTCGTTTAAAAAAACGTTGACTTTTAAAAAACGTGTAAATACGTATACATGTATAATACAGTATCTGTTAAAAAAATTCGGACAAAAAATACGGGTACTATTTTGAACATTTAAATTATATACTTTACAAAAGAACATATATAGTAAAAAGAAATAAAAGTATACACATATTCAAGTAGCAAATCTCATTACTACATAAAAGAATAATTCGTAATTGCATAAGTCGATGACAAAAATAAAAATAGTAATTAAGTCCAAGACATGATTTTGTAAACTAATGTCAACAAATAAGACATAAAAAATAGATTGAGACTAAGTTAAAGTGATTATCTTTATATGATCATCAAATAAAACGTAATTTAAATTCATCATTTTCATCAAGATGACGGATGACATATGTGACTGCTACGCGCGCTTCTTATTGTTTATGTGTAAAAGTTTATACTAAAAAAATGTCAGGTTCAGAAAAATTTTAACTTTGACATGCGTGTTTGAAAAAACATCAGAAATCTAGTACTCTGTGGTATTTTAAGTTTTAGTCTTTAAGAATGTTAACTTTAGCCGTAATGCAATTAATTTTAGTATTTAATAATTGTATTTTAGCAATACAAAAACATGAGATCACATGGATAAGCTTTTCTTTTTTTCTTTTAAATTATTGTTGATCCCATATATATTCATTTAATGCGTTCATTCAATTGATCAATTCATGTTTCTATTTTTAGTAAAATACGGGAAAAATACGTTTAATACGGGAAGTAGGAGTTTTTTTCCTTTTTAAACGGACCGACATTATTTTTCGTTTTAAACGTGTTTTTTTGTTCAAAAAAACGGTACGCGTTTAAAACGCGTTTAAAACGGAAAAAAGCTAACTAGGCACAAAGCTACTCACCCATACGATTTTGATTATTCTCACTGTTTATCTTTCTTGCCAGTATTTATCTCAATTAACTGTCGTTAACAATTGTCAAATATAATGAAGGATGTCTAAAATATCCGCTCTTAAAAGTCAAATTCGGCATCATAATTATAAGCCATAACTACCTGATCATTATTTTTCCTTTGGTACTTGTGAAAAATGTCACTGAGAGTAGCTAATGCTTGAAGGTGAGCCTTGGCGCACCGGTTACGGTGTTGGTGTGTGATTGAGAGGTCATAGGTTCAAATTATGGGAGTGGTCTCTTGTCAAAATGACAAGAGAAAGCTTGCTCCTTAATCCTTATATACTCTTGTGGTGGGACCCTTCTCCGGACCCTCACCTTGCAGGGACGCCAATGTGCACCGGGATGCCCTTGTGAGAGTAACAATCCTGAGTTATATTGATAAAAATAAGTGTTTTGAATTTTGAGAATACATACTCTAGGTAACTTTCTTTATCAAATAATGTTGAATGTGTGTTGGTTTATACTCCCTCCGTCCCATAAAATTCTTCTCACTTTCCTTTTTAAGCCGTCCCAAAAAATTCTTCTCACTTACCATTTTTGGACAATTTGTGTGGTTCACATTCATTTCACCTTTTTCTTACACAACTACAACCACACATTTCCACTTTCTTAATCTCCGTGCCATGTCAAAGTGGGAAGAATTTTCTGGGACGGAAGGAGTATAAAATTTAAATATAACTAATGTTACCTTAGCTACTCTCAACGGCACATCTACTGCAAGTAGCAAAGAAGAAACGACAACGAGCGACAACCATGAATTATGATCGTGATGATGAATTGTTTTAACATTTAAGAGTAACTCATTTAGACAAATGTCATCATATTTGACATTATATAAATTTAAATAAGAATATAAGATAAATTTTGACGGGAGTAGTGAACAAGGGGTTAACAATGAATATAGTCGAGGGGTGATAGTAGTTTTGTCTACAATATATGCACAATACATATATAAACACACACACACACACACACACACTTCCTCTATCCCTTTAAAGAATTTTACGTATTCCTTTTGGGACGTCCCTAAAGGCCTAAATAAACTCATATTTCTTATTTTGTAAAGAAACTCTTATCAATTTACTCTATTACCCCCTCAAGTAATACTCCCTCCGGTCCTTAATGAAGTTTACACTTTGACTTCACACATATTAAAGAAATAAATTTGACTTTACTGTAGAGTACACTGTTTGACACTGTTTGGTGTAGATTTGTTTGCCAAAATAAGGCAAATAAGAAAGTGTAAAGTTTAATATGGGACGGACCAAAAAGGAAAGTGTAAAGTTAATTAAGGACCGGGGGGAGTAATAACTTACCAATGACAAAAAGTTTTAAACAATGTTAAGGAGTGTACTCTAGAGTAATATTTACCATTGTTCAAAAGTTTTCGCTCATTAATATTAACTACGAAGTATTAGTTTCGCCCGTTAGATCTTAAATTTGTTCTGTGATGAACCCTATAAACATTTTTTTTTACTTCTATTACTTATCTAACGGTTAAGACTATTTCATCATAAAAAGTGGAATTAAACTTGTTAAATTTTAATTTTTCTAATGATCCAATGGTTGAAACTAACATCTAATGCTAACGACTAAAAAACATGTACCATTCAACTCAATTTTAGCTCAAAATTAAGTTGGAATGATGGGATTTCCGTCAGTCCGCACTGATGAGATCGCTTCTCTCTCTCTCTCTCTCTCTCTCTATATATATATATATATATATATATATATATATATATATATATATATATATATATATATAGACAATGCAAAACAAGGGTCTATATGTAATTGCTAATATGGGTTTCACTATTAGGGTCTTCGATATATTGCTTCTGTTTGACTACTCCTGATTCCGGATTACCTTCTAGGATTACACTTCAATCCTTAGTTTGGTATCAAAATCAAATAAGCTTAAATGAGCAGTCAATCTGATTAAGAGTCAAAAATAGCATATGAATTTGAAGTTTGTATGCTCCAATGAGCCACAATCTTGTACCGCATGTAAGTCATCCCACACAAGTCATGTCCTTGGGCTAATCCCCCTGTGATAATGATACCCATGTGTTAATAGCTTCTATGCCAATTAGGCTGTAAATGAGGTAAATAGCTGAACGTGTACCACCCCCCTGGTATTAGGAAAGCAAAGGTGCTCTATTTACGTGCCATGCCATTAAATATAAGTTATACACATTAATGACTAACTGACTATATAGTTTTGTTGGTGCATGATGAGCACTCATGAACGATACCTACAAGTGTACTGTGCATTTTGTGCAATAGCTTTTTTGAAATGTTATGAAAGTAGAATTGCTAGATTGGATAGTTGAAAAGTTAGATGGCTGTTTTGAAACAAAAGTTAAAATACAATGGCTAAATTGATTGATTAAAACTGTAGATAGTCATGCTGAAAAATTATCAAATTCAATAGCTAAATATGCATTTTCTCATTTTATAAAGATGCATATGCTTATCCTGCCATGTGTATCTTCATGTTAATAGGTTGCTGAAATGTTGTGTAGGGTAGTGGTTCATCAACTCAAGGGGAAATTTCATATATATCCTGGAACAACAGAGTTCAACATGTATTGGCTTCCACATCATTAAATGGGACAACAGGTGAATAAACAGTATTAGTTTAGTTCAACTATTTGTAGACCAAGGCTGGAATAATGTGCCTCTGATGTTTTTTCTTGTCTCTTTTTTCCAGTGGTTTGGGATCTTAGGAAGCAGAAGCCAGTCATAAGGCTAGAACTTCATCCTTAGACCAGAAACTTGTATATATAATTATGTATACAGCTCTTTTATCACTGTGTATGACATGAGCTAATGGGAATGGTGCAGTTTTGCGGATTCTGTTAGAAGACGGTGCTCTGTTTTGCAGTGGCATCCTGATTTTACTACTCAGCTTATTGTAGCTTCTGACGAAGATAGTTCACCTTCTCTGAGGGTAAAATAAGTTTTCCTCTGCTCTGTTAAAACAAAAGTCTTGACTGTTTTAAATTTTAATCTCTTGTATGTGATGAATTGTGCAGATGTGGGATATGCGGAATGTGATGTCTCCAATGAAAGAGTTTTTAGGACATACCAAGGGTATGCATGCGTACCCGCTTATGTGTTGCTTTTGAATTAGTTGTTTGCAAGTGATTGAAGCGATGAAAAAAGGAACTGAGAATATGGATATGTTGAAGAGATTTAAAGTATCCAGACATTTTTTCAATATATATTACGAAGTGGAGGAACCTCGAAGTACAAATCGATAATCCAATATTTATGCCTCATAATCAAAGGCTATGGCTGGCTAGATTAGTAGATTTTATAATTTTATCAATAACTAAAACACTAAAAGATACTACCTCCGTCCCTTAAAACTTTGCCAAAGTTGACCGACACGGAGAATAATAAAGTAAAAACTGTGTGGTTAAGGTTTGTGCAGAGGAGAGAGAAATAACAGAAACCATAAAATAATTGATTAAAAGGGAAAGTGGCAAAGTTTTTTGGGACGTCCCAAAAAGGAAAGATGGCAAAGTTTTAAGGGACGGAGGGAGTAGGAAAATCTGGGAAAATTCATACGAGGCAGAACAGTGCATATCATAAAGCACTTGTCCAGAACATGCTCCAGGAAGTTTTCTCTTCCTATATGGTGGTGTTTTTCTATTATTAATCTTAAACATATCCCAGAAAGTAATTTGTCGGACCTAAATGAATGTCAGGTAAATTCTCAATGGTGTTGTCTACTTGTCTTACAGTTCTCTTAAGAACAGAAAACAATTTATGTGCTAAATTTTAATTTCCTAAATGGCTAAATTAACAGCTTCATCCCTCTGTTGGTTTCTTTAAACTATAAAATTTGTAGTTTCCGCTATATTGATTTTACCGCTTAACCCATTTGTATATCATCAGGTGTCATTGCAATGTCTTGGTGTCCAATGGATAGCTCCTATTTGCTTACTTGTGCAAAAGACAATCGCACTATATGCTGGGATGTTCCTTCGGGTGAGGTGGGTAAATTATATATTCTGCAGGGCACACATTGTGATTCTCTTTTTATGAGGGTATCCCCATTACAAGCATTTCTATCTTCTAAGCTACTTTTGATGCCATTTTTAGTCAAAAGAAGCCAATTGAGAATTATATGTAGGTTAAAGGAAAGTTGCTTTAAATTGTATGTGCAGATTGTGTCTGAACTGCCAGCAGGAACTAATTGGAATTTTGATGTGCACTGGTACTCAAAGTGTCCAGGTCTTATATTAGCATCATCATTTGATGGAAAGATGGGGATGTATAATATTGAGGTATATGTTACATGCACTTGGTAGTAATCATTTTTTAACTGAGCCAATTCTGAAACTAAGGTGAAACTACTAGTAATATCTGCAATTTCATTTTTTAACAAGGAATTACCACAGTTCATTTTTGCAGGGCTGTGGTGTCTGATTTATTTGTTAATGAGACATGTAACCCATTTTAGTTTTGTAGGGTTGTGGTCGATGTGTTGCCCCAGATGGTTCCTCTACTGCAGGTATTATTATTTAGATATCTTATGCCAATTAGCTATTGCCATTTAGCATTATTCTGGACAGTTCTGTGCATAGAAGTGACTTGAGCAATATTTCTTCTTGGTGGACTTGGTGCTAAACAAAAAATCTGCATCCTTGTCCTGATGTCAGTGCACTGCTCGAATTCAACTTCGTTAAATCATTTCATATTCCAGATAGATCTTTAGTTTAGTGCTGGTAAGTGTTTTTGGTTTAGAAGTGTAAAGCTTGTATGGAAAGCATGTGCTCTCTAAATTATTTTCTTGTAACACTACATGAAATCCCAAAATACTAGCCATTCTAATAAAATCTCTCTAGCCAAGAAGTCTGTGACTCTGTGCTTGCTTTAACATTTTGAGCTCTATTTCTACAAAAGTGGTCTTTTTGGAATTCAAAATCCAGAAGTCTTTACCAGATCAGAATGCCTCCCCAATGTAACAACAGATTTAGAACTGATTCTTTCTGGATGCTACAGTTTTCACTGCTATCATCTCTGAATTCTTTCTAGCATAGTAAGGGGTTAGCCACTGAGTTGGCACTGAAATCTAATTCAATAATAATTCTTCTTCAGTACCACCCATGATGGAAGACGTGCTATCATAGTATCATGACAGAGAACTAATGAAAAAATGCTGCAATATAACATATTTATCATCCTTTTAATCTCGAGATCATGGTAGTTTAGTATCACATCTAAGGTAAGGTATGTTTCATTATTTCACTATTAGCAACTATATAAGGTTCTATTGAGACGAATCACATGCAAAATCAGAAAGGGCATGTATCCTCCTCGGTTTAAGTGCATTGTTCATATCTGGTTAATCACGAATGTTAAAAAAGGCCGTCGTTCTTTTTACTGCATGGGTTAAGCTCAAAATTAGGTCAGGCCGTCATGTTATGCAGCCTGTTTCTAAAAACTCGTGCTGTATTTTTATTTCTTCTTTTTTTTTTCTGCCAAAAACTGATATTCAAACCATTCAAAGTCCAGAAAAAGGGTTTTCCCTTTAACTCCCTACTCCACAAACAAGACCATTCTCTTGGCCCATCTCTTTCAGGCCTTCCTCTCTTCCACGTTTCTTCTGTGATTTTTCTCGTCTTGCTTCCTCTTGCCTTCTCTTCTCATCCTCTGCAGTCCAAGTGTGTCTATGGATTGGGGGTGGCATTGAGCACCGGTGGGAGTATCAGGTGTATGAAATGAGTTGTTCACTTGTTTGGTGGGGACATGCACCATCTTCAGGTTCGATATCTGGTTGTGGTTGGAGACACCAGGATAAGGTGTTTGACTGTGTGTTGAGTATGCACATGTACCAGATTACATCAACTGTGCTGAATAAATACTATAACTCATATACAGATCATGCCAAATGATAACTCATGATTCAAAACACACTCATGAATACACTTAGATGATGCATATTATATTCTACAATCTCTTGATATCCTAAGGTGACTCTTGGGAATGGAAGTGCTGGGGAAATCCTTTTGGGATGAATTATGAAAGTTAGAAAAGCGTAAACTTTTAGATACTTTACTCCAAGGTTCTTGACTTTTTGTCATTTTTGAAAGTTACTTTGTGCCCTTCTTTTATCCTGTTGTCATTCTTATGTACACCCTCCATGCACATTTTTGGATTTAACGTTGTTCAATAATTTTCACTCCTTCCGAGGTATTTTCTCCCTGAACCTATATTTGGTTGTTTCCGAATGTGCTCTGGCACAGCTTATTTAAGAGCTCCAAGATGGTACAGACGTAAAGCTGGAGTTTCTTTTGGTTTTGGAGGAAAGCTTGTCTCCTTCCATTCGACTAACACTAAAGATGAACCATCAGAGGTATGCTTAGCAGGTTTATTATTAATGTATTCTCATTATCTAGCTTTATAATGTATAAAACTTTCTTTTCCAGGTATATGTGCAAAAGGTAGACACCGAACATGGGTTGGCAAGTCGGTCTTCTGTCTTTGAAGCTGCACTTCAGAATGGGGAGAGATCTGCACTTAGGCTTCTGTGCGAAACAAAATCTCAGGAATCAGAGTATGGAATTTTAACAATTGAGTGAGGATTTCATACTATTAAATCTTGATGTGACCACAGTTTGGTTCAAGCAGCTATTGACCGTTGGAAATGTAATTGGGCCACCGGGAGCTCAGTTCCAGTTAGTAATTGGGGCTGTATGATTAAATGTCCTGGTGCAGGAAACATTGTTTTAACAGACTGCAGCTGGTTGTTTATGTTCCACACCATGAATAACAGTGTGAAATAACTTGCACGAATATACTACAATACCACTATGACTTTTATAATACCACTTTCCCAATATTGTTAATATTTAGAAGGGCATTTAGGCCCTGAATTTCCCCTTAAAAAGAGAATCAAAATCGCCAGTTCTGGCCGCAACTGAATTGAGCATGAACCATGGTCACCCACAGTTATGTCTTGTTTTAAAATGTCGTTTCATTCTTTTTGCTAAACAGATCTCTTGATGAAAGAGAAACATGGGGCTTCCTGAGGGTTATGTTTGAAGATGATGGGACTGCAAGGACTAAACTGCTCTCACACCTTGGTTTCAGCGTGCCTGTGGAAAAAGAGAACAATGTAGAGAATGAGATCTCTGAGCAAGTATCTGCGTTTGGTTTTGGTGAAGGTCTTGCTGGTAAAGAGGGGGATAATGTGAAGAAAGATACCATGACCCAAGTTATCGACAATGGGGAGGATTTCTTTAACAACCTTCCAAGTCCCAGAGTGGATACTCCATCATCATCTGCAAATAACTTTGATACTAATGAAGCTGCTTTGGGCTGGGATGAGGCTCCAGATATTAATGGATCAGATCACAGTGACACATCATTTGATGATGCTGTTCAGCGTGTCTTGGTTGTTGGGGACTATAAGGCTGCTGTCTCACTGTGCATATCTGCTAATAAAATGGCTGATGCATTAGTTATTGCGCATGTTGGCAGTACTTCCCTATGGGAAAGTACTCGTGATAAGTACCTGAAGACAAGCCGTTCTTCTTACCTGAAGGTAGTAAATTTATTGGATTCTCATGGGGTCGTGTGGCTCATGCTACACTGAGACTTATTAATGATTGTCTCTAACATCTTTAAATGACAGATTGTTACTGCAATGGTTAACAATGATCTCAAAAGCCTTGTCAATACCAGGCCGTTGAAATCCTGGAAAGAAACACTTGTCCTCCTTTGCACCGTAAGCCCTTACTCCCTCCCAAAGCAAAATAAGCAAACTCTTAGTGCACACCAAGTACTAATGGACATGATTCAGGACTGCAATGGTCATGATTGGGGATGAATTATTTTGTATACTTTTATTGTGACCTTTATGTACTGATCTATTCCATCAATAATCGATGCTATACAGTTTGCTCAGCAAGATGAATGGACTTTTTTGTGTGACACACTTGCTTCAAGACTCCTTGCTGCTGGTGAAACACTTCCAGCAACACTTTGTTATATATGTGCTGGGAATATTGACAAAACAATCGAGATATGGTCAAGGACTCTGGCAGACAAGAATGATCGAAAATCATACATTGACCTTCTTCAGGTAACTACTGCAAAGATCATTGAAATATGATTTTTATTTCCTGATCATGTGCAACTTTGTTTGGGCAGGATTTGATGGAAAAGACTATAGTATTTGCTTTGGCCACTGGGCAGAAGCGGTTTAGTGCTACTCTGTACAAGCTTGTTGAGAAGTATGTTGAAATATTAACAAGTCAGGGTCTTCTAGCTACAGCTATGGAGTTCTTAAAACTTCTGGGGACTGAGGAACTGTCCCCAGAACTGGTAATATTACGAGAGCGAATCTCTCTTGCTACTGAACCAGGTTTGAAGCTTATTTAATTACTTACTTTGTAATTTTCATTAATTCCATCCTAAATTCAAGTTATTTTCTGAAATTACATCTGAATGATATATATCCTAGCTCTGTTTATTTGACTACCTGCAATTTATAGGTACAAATAGCATATTCCCTAATTCTTTTTTTCCTGCAGATAATGGTTCGTTGAATTCTATGGATTTTGGTAGTTCTCATTTGCAAACATGGCCTGCACATATCCCTGAAAAAACAAGTTTTGGCATGGTTGATCCGTCTTACCAGTATTATCCAGTAAGAGATTCATTTTTAATCATGCTGTGGTGGCTCAGTCCTTGATATCATGTAATGATTACTTCCACTAATGCATTCTCTTCCTGATCAGGAACCACCATCGCAGCACACAAGTATTCCTAGCAGCCCTTATGCTGAGAGTTATCAACCCGCTCCAGGTCCTTCATACAAGGGATATGTTGCTCCTGCCCCTTACCAAAATGCTCCACAACAAACAATCCAACAACCGAACATATTTGTTCCGACACCTGCTCCTCACATACCACAGGTGTTTATAACATTATGGGCTTATGGCCCAATTTTGTGACAGCTTAATACATGATTTGGAAATAATTATTTGTAAATAAGCATCCATTGAGAGGTGGGGAGAAGAGGCGGGAAGGAGAGGGAGAGGAAGACCCAAACAGACTTGGATTAGAGGAATTTGAACGGATATGCTTCTTCTTGTGTTGGATGAGAGTATGACTTTGGAGAAAGCGAAGTGGATGAAGCATATTTTTGTGGACGATTGATCTTTTTTCTCTTTCTTTTTCTTTTATCTTTTATCTTCTTTATCTTTCTATGTTCTTATGTTATTGTTATCTTTTATCTTTTTATCTTTTATTTTTCTTCTGTTCTTATGTTATTTTTATCTTATCTTTATCTTATCCATTTTATCTTACTTTATCTTATCATTTATCTTATCTTTCTTCTCTTTTTGGCTCTGATATCATGGATTGATTCATGTTAGCCGACCCCAAAATCTTTTGGGAATATGACTTGGATGTTGTTCTAAGCATTCTTAAGTGAAAGCTGCTCTGAAGAGACATGAAAAAAAAACTTTTAGAAGCCACAGGAGATTTGAAGAGACAAATAAGAATTACAATAGATGTATGTAGAAATAGAAGTGTGGACATACGCTATTCAAAGAGGTGTATATTAACAGAGTGGTATATTGGTGCACTGAGTCCATTTTTATCATAACTTTTTCGTAAGAGTTGTTAGATTTCATTTTCTTGTTTGCGTTTTTGCATGACTTCACTTGTGTTATTCTTACGTTTGAATGAAAGTAAGGTTTATACTTTTTTACTTTCAGGGCAGTGTTGCACCACCACCCGTTTATGCTCAGCCTTCTGTGAAACCATTCAGCCCAACAACCCCCCCTGCTTTGAAACATGTTGAGCAATATCAGCAGCCAACTTTGGGTTCCCAGTTGTATCCTGTATATATTGATGCCCTATTTTGTTAAATCATTATTCACCGGAATTTATTTTTTCAAAATTTTAAGATGTTAAACATGATTTCTGTTCTGTAAGACGCTTCCTTTGCATGTTGTTTCAGGGCTCGGGTCAAAGTAGTTACCCATCTGACCCTCCAGGGCCTGCGGCATATGGCTTCAACCCATCTCCAGCACAAACTTTTGGACAGAAGATGCCCCCGGTCATTGCACCTTCTTCCTCAAGCTCTAGAGGATTTACTCCAGTCCCTGGTCCTGCAATTCAAAGGCCCAGTATGAGTCCAATGCAACCTCCAGGCCCTATTCAAGCACCAGTAATCCATCCTGTAGCTCCTGCTGCTGCTCCACCCACAGTGCAGACAGTCGACACTTCTAATGTCTCTGGTATGCTTTCATACCACTTTTCCCTACAATATTACCAGTAGACTTACACTTGGAACATCTTTTTTGTTGTTAAATTAATTTACAATGCTCGGTGACTTATTAATTGCATTCTTTTCTTTCACCAAGTTAACTAGTAGGGAGAGTTTGATACGTCACACCCAAGCTCTGGTTCTCTTTAATCGTCTTTACTCAATGCTAATAGTTGATTGTGTGAGTTTTTTGCTATAGCGGAGCATAAGGCCGTTGTTACAACTTTGACAAGACTCTTCAATGAGACATCTGAAGCGTTGGGAGGGTCAAGGGCAAATCCAGCTAAGAAACGTGAGATTGAAGATAATTCGAAGAGGTTAGGGGCGTTATTTGCTAAGCTCAACAGAAAAGATATATCTGAGAGTGCTGCAGAAAAGCTTGTACAGCTCTGTCGGGCATTGGACAACCGGGACTTTGGTACCGCCCTTCAGATTCAGGTACCTATCTGTTCGATTTGTCCTTCCTTTGAGTTGGTCCAGATTGAATCTGAAACAACCATTATCATCAATTTACACTTGAATAGGTGCAACTAACCACCAGTGATTGGGACGAGTGCGACTTTTGGCTAGCAACGCTGAAGCGAATGATCAAAACGAGGCAAAGCTTCAGGTAGAAGTGATGTACTCCAGCCTCAAATATGATCTAGAGTAGTTTTTTTTTTGCTTTTAAACTTTTCCAAGTGATGGGTTTAAGGTTTGTTTGCACGATTTGTAACCATCAGGGCGTTTCTTTTGTCATCAGCTTTTTAGCTTTTAGCCCAATCTCTGTCTCTTTCCCTTTTAGTGTTTGCAGTTTTAAAGAGATTGGAAAATATACAGTTCACACATATGGTTGCTGCTGATTATATTTTTTATTCACCATCAAAATGGTAAATAGAAAACCCACGACTGCTTCTTTCTTATCTTCTGTTTTTTATCCATACAAGTACTTCTGCTGTATTCTTGACAGACGTTCAATTTATGAGCTAAATAAATGTTAGGACGGACGTGTCCAGTTCACAAATAGGATATTTATTTTTTTTTCAAATGAGGACTAAAACAGGCTGTAATAAAATAAGAAAAATAAACAGATTAAACGTTTAAAATAAGTCATAGTTTAAATAGAGGTGGACCCGGGCCGGGCCGGGCCGGGCTGGTTCCAGGCCTGGGCCCAGACGGGCTTTTATTTGGGAAAGGGAGAACCGGAACCGGCCCGGGTATAAACCGGGTCCGGGCCTGGTTCTATTTTTTTTTTCTTTCTACCTAACCCCTGCCCCCCCCTCACCCCCACCCCCCAAAACACCCAGCCCTAACCAACAAAAACAAAAAAAAATTGAAAAAACCAAAAACAAAAACCCGGGCCGGTTCAATACAAACATGGCCCGAGCCCACCCCGCCCCAACTGGGTAAAAGCCCGGGCCCGGTTAGCCCCAACCGGGCTGGTCCGGGCCCGCACAGTAGCGGTCCGGTCTGGTCCGGGCCTGCACAGTAGCGGGCCGGTTCCGGGCTAGGCCGGGCCGGGCCGGTTGAGTCCATCCCTAGTTTAAGAAGAAAAAATGATCCTTTTTTTTGAAAGAAAATGTCAAACTATATTAGTTAATTAATGATTTGCAGTTACAATCAGTCAAAAACTAAAAACAAATAAAGATCCTATTTGAAAAATGTATTATATTTTCTTCCTACGATTGAATTTTTCTCATTAATTACTACGGAGTATTGTCTAGGGTTGGACTGGGCGGGGTCGGACTGAACTGGGGATTCAACAGGTGGGCTGCGGGATCCAAAAATGGTGGACCAGCCCGATCAGGCCCACTCTGGGCCCAATTCCAGTTTTTAAAATCTTTCTCATTGGACTGCTTGCTAGGTGGGTGGGGTTGGGCAGTTTGAGGGGTTTGGGGATTGGACGGGTGGAATTAATTCTAAAAGAATATTTTAAGGCCCGACCCGACCCTGTTCCAGCCCGTACCGGGTATGTTGTTTTTTGGCCCGGAGCCCGGCCCAGACCCAGCCCAGTCCACCCATAGTATTATGTTCAAAATAGGGCTGACCGAGCCCTGTCCATCAGAATTTTCATTTTTACGGTGGGATCATATTGTCACCTCAAATAAGCATTCCCTTTTTATGGCATGAGTGCTGGTACCATTTTGACTGTGCGGGTCGGGCCAACCGGCCCGGAACCGGACCGGCCTGCTACTGTGCGGGCCCGGACCGGCCCGGTGAACCAGTTGGTGCCCGGTTCAGGCCACCCGGCCCGGTGTGATAGCGGTTCGGTCCCAGGCCTGCATTTTAGTGAACCGGCCCGGTCCGGGCCGCAACGGTCAGTTTTTTTTTAAAATAGTTAAAGGCTCTATAGCCGTTTAGAGAGCTCTCAAACGGCTCTATAGCCGTTGGGAGCATAGGAGGGGGGGGGGGGGGGTCTGGGGTGTTAGGGGGGTGGGGTGGGGGAGGGGGTATACAAAAAAAAACCTATTTATACTTCTATTTTCTATACATTTTTTACACCTCTTCTTCTACAACTCTTCCTACTCTCTAAATTCTATATTCTCTCAATCTCTCATATTCAATCATCTTCATTCTTCATCTTCTCCAAATTCTTTCTACATATATATAATTTATATAATTATTATATCTACTTATATATTAATTATCTACTTATAAATATGTACTTATACACATTCATATTATAATTCTTTACACATTATATTATATATACTATATATAGTTATACATTATATTATATATTACTTATAATATATTTACACATTTTGTATACTATATGTACTTATACTCGTTGATATAGACTTATACACATTCATTCATTTTATAAAAGTAGTTAATTGTTAGACTTCTCGTTTATCTATTAAATTACTGAATTGTTTCATTTGTCATATTAATATTAGTTAAAGTAGTTAATTGTTTCATTTGTCATATTAATATTAGTTAAAGTAGTTAATTGTTTCATTTGTCATATTAGTATTAGTTAAAGTAGTTAAAGTTAATTGTTTCATTTGTCATATTAAGATTAGTTAAACTACTTAATTGTTACATTTCTCATATTAATATTAGTTAATTGCTACATTGCTCATTAAAGTAAAAAAAGTAGTTAATTTTTACATTTCTCATATTAGTTAATTGCTACATTTCTCATTAAAGTAAAAAAAAAGTAGTTAATTTTTACATTTCTCATATTAGTTAATTGCTACATTTCTCATTAAAGTAAAAATAGTAGTTAATTTTTACATTTCTCATATTTGTTAATTGCTACATTTCTCATTAAAGTAAAAATAGTAGTTAAATATTGTACTCATATAAAATATTTGATATCTTTTAATATTTTTTCAATTTTAAAGATGGAGCGTGGTAGACATTCTGTAGATGTGGGTAATCTCCAACGCAACCGCAAGAGGGAGATTACATCGACTCGACCTACTTCACGCAAAGGCAAAGGTAAAGCGCGGGCCGAGTCTTCTTTTCAAAGTCGAGATAATTTTGAAACGAATTACCAACGGCGAGATGATATGATGATGTCCGACGAGCAACTACAACACCTATTGTCCCAAAATGATCCACACTTTGCACAAGAACAACAATTCCCGACAACCATTGATGAAGAGGAGCTCGAGGATGATGATGCGGAGGAGGACGCGGGGGGGCGACGGGACTCACGGCACCCCGGATGATGAGCAAGAGTTGGAGGACGAGGGCCGTTCAACGACTTCAACCCAAATTGATAAGAAATCTAAATCTCCTATTATTGAAAACAATTATAAAAAAAGGAAAGACGAAAATACCGAAAAATGGTACGCAAGTTGCAATCATTATTGCAACAAAGAGTTTAGCTTGGGAACTTCTGGCGGATACGGGAGTCTCAAAAGGTATCTTAAGTCCGCCCACTTTGTGGAGTATGCGAAAATAGACAAAGGCAAGGGGAAGCAAACACAAATATAAGGGTTTGCAAATTCTGAACCCTTTGGTAATTTCTCCTATGATGATAAAAAACATTTGACTGGTATGTCTCATTTAATTGTTGAAGAAAATTTACCCTATATTTTTTCCGAAAGTCTTGCTTTAAGAGATTATTCTCAAGGTACTTTAAATCCTCAATTTAGAAATTATAGTCGCAAAACGATTAAAAAAGAAGTTATAAGGCGATATAACTTAGAAAAAGAAAAATTACAAACATTTTTCGCAAACTTTGATGGACGTGTTAGTATTTGTAGCGATATATGGGAGGATACTTATCATCATTTATATTATTTGGGACTTACTGCACATTATATTGATGATGATTGGAATATGCATAAACGTGTTCTTGCTTTTCGTGAATTCAATGATTGTCACACTGCTGATAATATTTATATTCTCATTGAACGTATTTTAATTGAGTATAATTTGATTGATAAGGTGTTTGCTGTAGGTTTTGATAATGCTAGTAATAATAGTGCTGCTATACCTAGATTACGTGAATTGTGTGGTGCTTCTACATTGATTGGTAGGTTTTTTCATCAACGTTGTGCATGTCATATTCTAAATTTGTGTGTACAAGATGACTTAGCGGCATTAGGAAATGCTTTGGAGGTAGTGAAGGGGGGAATTAAATTGATTTGGGTTAGCACTCCACTAAAAACGTAATGGCGGCAATATTTGAAGGATAGACGTGTCAATTATTGTACTTTTCCTAAAGATTTGTCTATTCGTTGGAATAGTACTTATAATTTAATTCAAGTACTTATTAGATATAAAGATCATTTTCTTGCTTTTTAAAACAATTTTGTAACTATATTATAAACCCGGCTGACATCGACACTTGTGAAAAAATTGTAAATGTTTTGGCATATTTTAATAACGCAACTCAAACTTTTAGTCATGTTTATAAACCTACCGCAAACGAATTTTTTGTTGAAGCTGTTAATCTCGCCGACGCTTTTTGTGAATTTTCCGAAGCCACTTACGTTAGTTATTTTTGTGATTTCATGAAACAAATTCTTTTAAAATATTATTCACATATTCCGCATATATATGGTATTGCATTTGTTCTTGATCCTCGTTATAAACTTGCTTACTTGGCAAATTGTATAGATTACTATTATGCTTCTTTTTTTCCAACTCAAGAGTTCGATGATAATCCCATCGACCCTAAACAAGAAGAGATATTACCCGAAATAGGACTAAAACAGTTTGAAAATTCCAAATTAGGAGTGCCATGTTTTTATTCCCAAAATAGGACTAATTACTGGCATATTTTGGCAATACCAGACTTCAAACATGGCAGTATTTTCTAAACATGACATTAATTAGTCCTATTTTGAGAATAAAAAACATGACAGTCCTATTTTGGAATTTTGAAACTGGTTTAGTCCTATTTTGAGAACTTTCCCAAACGAGAATTCAACGAGGTTAGTAATTTATTTCATCTATTGTATAATGAATTTAATGCACAATATGGTAATTCACCCCCTCCCATGCAACGAACATCTTCTTCATCTAAAGGAAAATCACTTTTAAAATCCGCTTTTGGTTCTCTTTTGAAAAAAAGTAGAGCAACTCCCGCTACTGAACAAAGCTCAGGTAACGAGCTTTCTTTGTATCTAACATTGAATGTTGATTATGAAGTTGGTGATGACTTTGACGTTCTTAAGTGGTGGAAGGAAAATGAAAGAACGTTCCCGATTTTATCAAAGATGGCTAAGCAAGTGCTAGCAATGCCGATATCAACCGTTGCCGTGTAACAAGAATTTAGTGCGGTCGGCAACGTCCTAACCGATTATAGAACGAGGTTGAACCCGAGCTCTCTTGAGACGCTAGTTTGCTTTCACAATTGGTTGAAGGCCCAACGAAGAACTCAAGAAATTACCATCGCTCCCACCAACCACTTTATGGAGGAAACAACCGAAGGCGGAGATTCCGATTGATTTTTTATTACAAAATGTATTACATTTTTTAAATTCATCCTAATTCTCAATTGTACTTCTTATTTGAAATAAATATACTTGAATTAGAATATAATATATTGTAATTGTAATAAGAATTATTCTAATAATATAATATATAATAAAAAAAAATTAAAAGGCCCGGCCCGGCGGGCGGCCCGGCCCGTGAACTGGGCGGGTGACCCGAACCGAACCGGACCCGGGGTTATCCGGGCCGGTTCCGGGCCTCCCAAACCGTGAACCGAGGCCCGGCCGGTTCAAGGCCCCAACCGGGCCCGGCCCGAACCGAGTCCACCACAGTTAAAACGTTTAAAATAAGTCATAGTTTAAGATAGGGGTGGACCCGGGCCGGGCCGGGCCGGTTCCGGGTCTGGGCCCAGGCGGGCTTTTATTTGGGAAAGGGAGAACCGGAACCAGCCCGGGTATAAACCGGGTCCGCGCCTGGTTCTATTTTTTTTCTTTCTACCTATCCCCCCCCTCACCCCCACCCCCCTAAAACACCCAGCCCTAACCAAGAAAAACAAAAAAAATTGAAAAAACCCAAAAAAAAAACCGGGCCGGTTCAATACAAACATGGCCCGAGCCCGCCCCGCCCCAACCGAGTAAAAGCCCGGGACCGGTTAACCCCAACCGGTCCGGTCCGTGCCCAGTAGCGGTCCGGTCCGGTCCGGTCCGGGCATGCACAGTAGCGGGCCGGTTCCGGGCCAGGCCGGGCCGGGGTAGTCCATCCCTAGTTTAAGAAGAAAAAATGATCCTTTTTTTTTGAAAGAAAATGTCAAACTATATTAGTTAATTAATGATTTGCAGTCAAAAACTAAAAACTAATAAAGATCCTATTTGAAAAATGTATTATATTTTCTTCCTACGACTGAATTTTTCTCATTAATTACTACGGAGTATTGTCTAGGGGTGGACTGGGTGAGGTCAGACTGAACTGGGGATTCAACAGGTGGGCCATGGGCTGCGGGATCCAAAAATGGTGGACCAGCCCGATCAGACCCACTCTGGGCCCAATTCCATTTTTTGAAATTTTTCTCATTGGACTGCTTGCTAGGTGGGTGGGGTTGGGCAGTTTGGGGGGTTTGGGGATTGGACGGGTGGAATTAATTCTAAAAGAATTTTTTAAGGCCCGACCCGGCCCTGTGCCCCTGTCCCAGCCCGGACCGGGTATGTTGTTTTTTGGCCCGGAGCCCGGCTCAGACCCAGCCCAGTCCACCCATAGTATTATCTTCAAAAGAGGGCAGACCGATCCCAGTCCATCAGAATTTTCATTTTTACGGTGGGATCATATTGTCACCTCAAATAAGCATTCCCTTTTTATGGCATGAGTGATGGTACCATTTTGACACGGGGCTTGAAGATAATGACCAGGTAAACTTTTAGTGGCCCTCTAAAGGGATTCAGTGACCTCAGAAAACTTTTGTTTCTAGATTCAAACCAATTGAACAACCCTAGGTTCCTGGCCATTTCCTTTGCTGATCATCTCTAAAGGTGGAAAATAAGGAAAGTAACAACCAATCACCAATGCTTGAAACATCTTAGTTCCACTAGCATATATAAGTTGTTTGCTAATAATACTTGCAATGGTCGATCTGTGGTGGACCCTTATTATGTGGGAAGACTGTGCACACCAGAACGCCCTTTATATGTACATACCTAAACTGAAACTCCCAATTTTACCGAATATAAGAGTGAAATGGCACTTCCAGCTTTACAACAGTGCTAGCTTACAGACTGCATATATTATATATGTGTATGCCCTGTGCATTTCCAACCACTAAAACTACATGAATCAAGAACTTCTATGCTCTTCCCAGGAGTTTTGGGACATTAATCTTGAACAGAGAATCAACATATGAACGAAACCTCTCCCACGGTGAAGCTGTTGATCCATAGAATTGTACATTGACAGCCTTCTTGTGTCCTCCTCGAATAAACTCCACCTCCTTGGAAGTGTCAAAGGCAGCACACTCTGTGTTATCCAGCAGAGGCAATGCCACTGAACCCTTAGATTCCAGGCTTCTAATCCATCCTTTCAAAAGAAAATTCACAACCTGGTGCATATGCATGGTGCAAATTTAGAGGTTTTCCTTCTATTTAATTTATTTATGAAGAAAGGTGATGCTGGAATGTAATAACCTAATGAGAGTAATACCTCAGGGACTTCATCATGGGGGCAGTGGCCTGCAGGGCTAATCTCATAATATGCAGCTTCAGGCATTTTCTCCTTGACGCGAAACCCCCAGAATGGAGTCACCCATGGATCTTCCTTCCCATAAACTAGACATAAGGGCAGTTTGTTTTCTTGACACCTATAATAGTACACGAGCAGACATTTAGAGAATGGTTGGAATGTGGAAAATGCTAGGGAAAGGAAAAAGTGTTCATGATTTTTTTATTTGCTCTGACCTCGAACTTTAAAATGGCAAATCAAATTTGAATAGAAAAAACAACAAAAAACAACATCTAAGCCTTAGTCCCAAAAGATATTGAGGTCGGCTAACATGAATCGATATATGATATCACAACCTAGCGATATTCATATTTCGATTCATGTCATGTGATGTGACTAGGTGATACTGTTGGCCGTCACACGCCTACCACAGCACCCTCCTCCTTTATCCTGGCTTGGGACAGGCATGATACCAAAAAAATGATATCATGGCAGAGTTAAATCAAATTTGAATAGAACTTCTAAAAAAATTGATATGTATTTATGTTTCTTAGTTTTTATATGATACTCGTAGAATATTACTACGTGTTACTTGAGTTTGCCCCATCTTTTCCAATAATATTTTTTCCTTCCAAATTTACCGTCTATTTTCTGCCCTGTTTTGTTTTCCTAGCGTATCCCGGGTTCCCCATGGATCCTCACGAGTGAGAGAGAATTAACATTTTTTGAAGGAATCATATGAAAGGTAAATAGTAACGTAATTACTTGCACTACATACCGAGAGAGAGCTTCTCCAAATGATAGTTGACTCCCAGGAGCGAACATCATCGAAGCTAAGGATGCAGCTGCAGCAGGATGCTTTGTTGTTTCAATTATATTTGAAAACACCTCATCCACGTTTATCGAGTGGTCTGCATAAACCTGCTTAAGAATCTCTGCTACACTTTCAGGATCACAGATTTTCTGCCATCTAAATAATCAGTAGAAAAATAGTTCAAGTTGATACCAGAATCTAAGAGCCGAAATTTCTCCTAGTATCTGTAAAAATTCAATTACAGAGTTTCATTTCATCTATAGCTATGGGGTGTCCAATGATCATCACTCCATTATTGAATAAAGATACCGAGACAAAATCAGCACAGAGAAGAGAAAAAATGAGAAGGCAATGAAATGAATCAAAATATAATACTTACAAAAGCTTCATGACATTTCTAATAGACATCGGAAGAGGAAACGTCCCAGTCCAAGGAAATATTCTCGACAGTTTTGGAGATTTAATAGGATTAGGCAGAAAACACCAAAAAGGTGTTGCATTTAGCAATGTAACACCTTTTACCAATTCAGGGTAGCATGCTGCAAAGTAAAGTGCAACAAACCCCCCTAGCGAATTTCCTACAACATAAACCGGCTCTTCAATAACCTGCATTGTTGATATAGAGTAAGATTGTGTCCCGACCCCATCTATCATCAAATTCACAAATATATCCTATTCTTTCACTTTTATTAAAAGAGAGCCATACTTCAACTTTTCTCACAATTATACTTTCAATGAATAAATCAGTAATACTCATGGTTTTAAATATCAGCCTAGACGCTGCCTAGTCGCTAGGCGGTGGCCGGGCGCCCCAATTTTGTGGTAATCGGTGGAAAAAATCGATTGGCCGCCTAAGCGAGCTAGGTAGCTAGGCAGCCGACTATGCAGTGGCTAGGCGACCCGAACTAAATTTGTTCCCAATCCAACTTATTTTTTCCGTTTTGTCTTGAAACACCGTCTGGTTAATAAGTATTTTCTATAAAATTTGCTATCATATTCCCACAGCAAAAAAAAATAAAAGTATATAAACTTTTTAGAATGTACATGAACAAATTTAGAGACTAAAAAGCACAAACCTATTAATTTATTCTATTAATTATTTTATTTTTGAGAATTTTACTACAAAAACCATAACATTTAATAATTATGTGAGCTATTTCTATTGTCAAAATATTTTAAAATTATTAGTAAAGATTTTTGAAATTCATAGGAAATGAAAAAAAAAATAGAGGAAATGCTTAAGCGCCCTAGTCAACGCCTAGGCGCTAGGCGGTAGTCACCGCCCGACTAGCGCCGTTTAGAACACAGGTAATACTTAAGAGGAAAATCATATTTATATTTCATATTTTTTCATTTCTTTTAACTTTTAAGTTTACAAACTTGTATTCCTTATACCTTTTTATACAAGATCTTTTTCTATAAAGAATACTCCGTAATATTCTTTACTTGTTATAAAGTTAGTATTACTTACTCCCTCCGTTCCACTTGACTTTGCCAATTTCCCTTTTTTGTTTCTCCCAAAAAACTTTGCCACTTTTCTTTTAAAGCAATGAATTTGTGGTTCTGTTCATTTCTCTCTCCTCTGCACAAATCTCAATTACACAGTTTTAACAATTCTAATTTCCCACCCAACATCAACTTAGCAAAGTTGAGTGGGACGGGGTAATATAATTAATCAACTTTTGGTGACGTTTTCACATACAACTATATAGAAATAGTTCAAAATTTTCTAGGGAAAAATAAATTCTACTACATATTAAATAAATATTAGTTATTTATTAGTGTTTAATCTACTTTAGCAACTTCTATAAAGACATTAATATATTAGCTACTTAATTCCCGGCTTAATTGGATTATCATTTTATATTAGTGTTGAGATTTTGTTAAATATTTTTCAATTATAAATAGTATGCAAAATTAATTTTTTAGATTTTATTTGAGTTCTTGTTAATACATGAAGAATAAATAGAATTAAACATTTAACAAAAATTATGAAATTTAATACTAGTATGTAAAAAGTATTGATATTGACAAAAGTGTAATTTCGAAAAAACAAAAACAGAAAAACATAATTGTTGTAAAAGATAAAGTTTGAGTCATTTTTTGATACAAATTAAAGAACATAATAGATTTGGGAATTTGATAATAGTTGGGGATATAATAAGCTAATAATCCTAAATTTAAAAGCAAAACCAGTCAAAATAACATCGCTTATTAATGATTAGGCTTTGGTTAGATGAATAATCCTACAAGATAAATTTGGTTAGATGAATAGTCCAAAGTCTAATGTGAGATTCTCCGTCTTTGTATTTGGCTGATGTGGGATGAGTAAATGCCCTGCAAGGTGGCGGTTCATTAGAAAATAAAACTGTTGAGAACAATGTACTTTTTTAGAGTCATAATCGGATTGATTGCTTACATGAACTTAATGGGCTCTCCTACCGTTGACTTTGGAACTATATCCTAAAAAGTCTACTCCATAAGAGTAGCACATAAGTTAAGTTTAAATGAGAATTTGTTTTTTACGCCGGGGGGTCAGGGGAGAGGCTGTGGGGAGACGGGTAAGCATGGTTGAAACTCCCACCATGGAGTTTCAAACCTGAGACCCCCGTTGGAAGGTTCCCATAGCAAATCGACACGTTTATTTTGACAATAATTAAATAAAGTAGTTCGAGTACATGTAGAGAAATAATTTTAATAGGTATATATTATAATGTAGTTAGTATTGATAACTGCGATGTTATAAATGTATTATTTTTAATACTTAATGATTAATTTGTCACTTAAGATTGTTAAATGTTTCCTAAAATGGAAATGAGAACCTTTATATGAGACGTCCAAAAAAGGAAAGTGAGAATCTTCTAATGGGATGGAGGGAGTAAAACGCCTTAATAAAGTCGAGATAAAAAAGGCAAAAATAAATAGCCCAAACTCTATGGGTTATATGCTTTGTGATTTGAAGCGCAAGAAAACAGTTTGCAAGTACCTGTTCAATAAAGTAACGAACTTGGTCTCTCCATAGATCCATAGAATAAACCAGCCCTTCTGCCCAAGGTTGAGCTTCATCTCCAAAACCCCATATAAGATCTTCTCCAACAGAATTTGATGAATCAACAACACTGTTCAACTGCAAAGTCATGTCTTTGTTTGGCAACGACCTACCCTGCCCTAAAAAATCTAATGCCCAAACTCTAAATTCGCAACCGAGATCCTTGAGTTGTTTTCTGTAATGAAAAGAACCAACACCGAATCCTGGAAGAAAGAGCACTGGCGTAGAATTTTCATTTTCAGACCCAGATTTCTCATAATAAACATTCAGTTCCGGCTTCCATTCCCAGAAAGAACTGCTAATTGGAGCTGCATAATCACCCTTGGCCTCATCCGGTAAACCAGGGATGAAAATCTTAGGTGCTGCCTCTCCAGTATTTGTGGTCATGGTGATGCCATCAACTACATATGAATCGCAGTTTCCACTACATAGACACGTACGGTGTTTCTTTGATCTATCTAAAGATGAGCATCTCAAACGGAGAGGTTTTATTACAGAATAGCAGAAACTTTCCCCTGGAGTCGTGGGAATCCTTAATTGAGTAAAACTTGGATGCATATCGATCATTTCACTTCTAACATTTATAGCAGTAGAGCATGGCGCTGATTGAAAGGAAAACAATTCCATCATAGAAGTAACCAATCTGATTCAGACAGATAGGATTCAACAAGTTAGCTGAAGCATGAGTACTGTGTAAAGAAATGAAAGAAATGAGAAACGTGGGGAGAAGCATCACTTTAAAATGAAAGGTAATTGTAAGAAAATTTCCTACATCAAATCTTTAGCCTAAAATCCATATATGAGTAATAAAACAAACACTTCTACAATTTCCGTATCCTGCTTATTCCACAAGCTTGGTTTTTCGAAAACCTAGAAAACAGATACTTCACTGTCTTCACCATTGATCATTTAACCCGTAAACCTACCAGGGCCGGTCCTGCTCATTTATGGGCCTATGGGCGGTACACTATTCTGGGCATATATCCAAGACAAACCGTAAACCATATACTTATTTGAAATATGAATTATAATAGAAGTATCCAATGAAGTTCATAAAATAAAGGCGAGAATCACTTTATTATTGTTTAAGTCATATATTTGGACAAAAGTAACAACACGAGTATCGGATAAAAAGAAAAAAACATTACTAAAAAACGTTTCTCGTAGAACAATGTGAAGCAAATCATCAATAATCGCTTCATAGGCAACCTTCTTTCCACTAATAAATGTGACAAATAATAAAATTACCACCAGGGCCGGTCCCGAGAAAACGGAGGCCATGTGCAACAATAAAATTTGGGCCTTTTTTCAAGTTGCAACACAAGCAAATTGTCTTAAAATACAAGTTACTAATAAATGTAATGATTAAAATGAAAAAAGTCATTATTAAATTACAGTTTATATGGAAACATTATTACCAATTATTGAAATTCTCCTCTAATCATGTACATGTTTATAAATTTTAAATTAATGTTCAGTTTAAAATTAGGGTGAAAACATGAATGATTATACTAGTGTATAATTATAATTTAGGATAAATTAATTAAAATACCCCAAACTTTGATGGGGTGTGAGATAAGCACCCCAAACTTGCATATGTAATTTAAATACCCCAAACTTTACAAAAAAAATATTTTAGCACCATGGTCATTTATTATTTCTTTCAAAAATATTATCTTTTGGTGTTTATTTCATAATTTGATAATTTTTAGCATTCATAAAAATACAATTAACATTCTAAGCTTCCATTGTAAAATAAATAGTATTACCCACCACTATATATAATTCTAATGTTTTCAATTTGCTATTTTAAATTATGCAATTAACACCATAAATTTACATTTTTGAAAGAAATAATACATAACCATGTTAAAATAACTTTTTATATAAAGTTTGGGGTATTTAACTTACATATGAAAGTTCGGGTGTTTATGTCACACCCCTTCAAAGTTTGGGGTATTTTAATTATTTTCCCCTATAATTTATCAACCTCAAGTTACCTAATAATATATTCATACCACTTTCTTAAATTTTAACGGCTAAACACATTTACAAAATTATACATTGTATTATCAATTCAAATAATGATTTACTTTAACTGCAAAAAATCAACAAATAACGACAATACAACAATTCAACAAACATTAAATCTGAAAATAAACAAATTACAAGAATTCAACAAACAATTCATCAATTCAATAAATCAAAAGTTCACAAGAATTAGCAAATTAGCAACTAAATGAATAAAAGGAACTGTATGCTGTGGACTGACCGGAATTCCACTGGACGACTGGTCTGAGGGAGGCCCAGAGACGGCCAGGCGGGAGCAACCGAGCAGGGAGCTTGAGGGTCTGAGGGAGTGAGGGAGGCGGGCGGCTGGTTGACTTCAGGCGGCGGCGTGCAGGCGTGCGGTGTGCAGTGTGCGGTTCGACTGGAGACGCGGAGGCGGCGGAGCTGCGGAGGTCTGAATCGGCAGAATCGCCTTGGCCCTTGGGCGTGGGTTGCTGCGCAGGGGAATAGCGGAGGCATGAGGCGTGTTGTCGTGGAGCAGGGGATTTTGGGGAAAGAGATTTGGGCTAAAACTAATGGGCTTGGTCTAATACTAAATTTTTATTTTGTTTGGGCCCTTCAAAAAATCGGGCCCTGTGCGGTTGGACTGGACAGACAAGCACAGGGCCGGCCCTGATTACCACATATAATAACACTAAACTTTCTTTTGAAAGGATAAATAAAAAAAAATATTACTCTCTCCGTCCCGAAAAAGATCACCAAATTGACTTTTCTTGGTCAATGACAATCAACTTTGACTAATAATATGTTTTAATACGAATTTTTTTGAATATGAAAATTCTATCAAAATGTACCTTATTCAATATATTTTCATAAAAGTATAAAATTTATAAATTATATACAAATATAATAATTAAAATCATTGTCCAAAATTTCTTATCATTGACCAAAAAAGTCAATATGGCGAAGCTTTTTGGGACAGAGGTAGTACTACATATTGAATTCATAAGTAATGATTTATTGACCGCTGATGAAAACAAATAAATAATTTGGATGAGATTTAAAAGAGATAGGCTCTAAAATAATTATATAAAGGTTTTATGTTATAATAAAAAAGAATAAAAAGCCTTAAAGGCTAAAGAGTTGTGAAGACTAAAGAGGCGTGTCTTTTATTGATGCATCAACAATTGTATTGATTTTAAAAACTACAACCGATCCTACTTAAAATTAATGTATATATATTCTTTTTTAGCTTGACCCTCTTTAAGACTTTTTATTTATATTTTAAATTTTCAAATTAATTTTCAAATTTATTAAACATTAGTCTAATTAATTGAACTTAAGAATAAAAAAAGAAGCCTACTCAAACTATATATAAAGAAAAAATTTTGGACCTATTTTTTCTTCAATTTTTTTCGGGCCTAGGGCGCTCGCCCCTCTTGCCCCCCTCAGAACCGGCCCTGTCCAGACATAAGAAAAAATGCCACAAAATCATACGGAAAAACTAAACTAGTATCTTAGAAAAGGCTGCCTAAAGACTAAGGAGGTGTTACTTCGTTGCTAAAGTCACAGTTAGGTTAGTAAGACAGGTGAAGTAAACACGCAAGTTGCTTAAAACGCTGCTTACTAACCAAAAGAGGTGTTTAAAGTGTCGCTTACTAAGCATACCACCCCCATGTATTAATTAAGCGGCACTTTAAGCTTTTTCAGTTTTCGAATTTACCCTTACATTTACCTCTTGCCCTTACCCTACCCTACCTTACCCCAACCCCACCCTGACCCCCACCTCACTCCACCCTTGACCCGACCATACCCCACCCCCACCTACCCTGACCCCTCCACCACCTGCCCTAACCCATCCCCCTCACCCCTTACCCTACCCCTATACCCCCTACCACCTTCCCCTACCTTGACCCGACCCTCACCCGACCACTACCCCACCCTACCCCACCTTACACCGACCCCACCCTTCACCTGACCATACCCCACCCCCACCTTACCCCGACCCCTCCACTACCTGCCCTACCCCACCCCCCACCCCTTACCCATGTACCCCCTACCACCTTCCCTACCTTGACCCGACCCCGACCACACCCTACCCCCCGCCCCTACCCCACCCCACCCTTGTCCCGACCCCACCCTGACCCCCAACCCCCACCCCCACCCCCACCCTTGACCAGACCATACCCCACCCCCACCTTACCTCTACCCCTACCCTGACCCCTCCACTACCTGCCCTACCCCCCCTCACCCCTTACCCTACCCCTTTACCCTCTACCACCTTCCCTTACCTTGACCCGACCTCGACCCCACCCCTACCCCTACCCCCACCCTTGACCCGACCATACCCCAACCCCAACTTACCCCTACCCCCTACCCTCCATCACCTGACCTACCCCACCTCCACCCTCACCCCCTTATCCTATCCCTTCCCCTACCTTGACCCGACCCTACCCCTACCCCTACCTCGATCCAACCCTATCCCACCCCACCCTTGACCCGACCATACCCCACCCCACTTTACCCCTACCCTACCTCACCCCCACCCTCACCCCTTACCCTACACCTTTACCCCTACCACCTTCCCCTACCTTGACCCGACCCCACCCCCTACCCAACGTCGACCCACCTTTACCCCACCCCCACCCTTGACCCGACCATACCCCACCCCACCTACCCCTACGAGTTGGGGGGTGGTATGGGTGGGAGTAGGGGTGGAGGGTAAGGTTGTCGTAAGGGTAGGGGGTAGGGAAGGGGTGGGGGTCAAGGGTGTGGAATTGGGGGTAGGGTGAGGGGTGGGGGTACATGGCAGGGTAGGGGTGTGGGTAAGCGACTAAGCGTACGAGGTGACCCCACATATTATATTATATTATATTATATTATATTATATTATATTATATTATATTATATTATATTATATTATATTATATTATATTATATTATATTATATTATATTATATTATATTATATTATATTATATTATATTATATTATATTATATTATATTATATTATATTATATTATATTATATTATATTATATTATATTATATTATATTATATTATATTATATTATATTATATTATATTATATTATATTATATTATATTATATTATATTATATTATATTATATTATATACTTGTGTTCATGAATGTTTGTGTGTATATATATCTATAGGGTTATTTTGGACATTTAAATGTTAAACGGTGTTTTAAATCCTTTGAAGTAAACATGAGCTTACAACACTGCTTATTTTATGCGCCGCTTATTAATGCGGGTCTTAATAAGCACCGTTTACTAACACATGAAGTAAATGTGTCCTAAAATAGGAGACCACTTGTGTTTTGTTCATAAAATAGGACTTACTCAATCTTTGTTTTAGAAACCTAATATGCCACTTTGGAAAGAGGTTGGTGGTAGCATTTTGTGGCGATTTTTTACTAAACAAGTTTCTTGGCTTCTTCTTACCTTAACTATTCAGGAGGACCACTATCCGCTTGTAGCGGCGAATACCCGACAGCATAAAAATGATACCTCTCCCATCCCTATTTGATCTTATTGTTCATCATTCCTACAATCAACTTAAATATTTTCTTATGCTATGGTTTTACAATGAATTCAGTTTTTGCACTTCAATAGGAGTTTCAATGTAACTATGTAATAGATACTAGTATGTTTTAATAATAAAACTAATAAAAAATTGTAGGTGAACAATTAACTTTTATTTATGAAATGAAACAAGAAGATCAAACAGAGACGGAGGTACTTAGTTCTATTCCAAGTGACTATCTCTGGCTTATAGATCAACCTTTCTCGGTCTTTAAATCGACCGAACTCACAGATTTACAACTATCCGATGAAGATAATCATATCATGTATTCATTAAAAAAGCAAATGAAACACACTCGGAAGAGGGGAGTTTCATGTTACCATTAAGCAGCTGAGCAAGACCTGCAAAATTGTGCGATAAAAGGGGAGATAAGGATTATCTTTATCAACAAAACTTGTGCAGCTTGTGTATACGATTAGATTCTACAATACTTCAGAGGGAAAATTGCTCGAGTCTGTCAAATTCTGAGAATTCTGTCAAGTGGCGAGAGAAGATGAGTACACGCAACTTACATAGTTACATCAGTCTCTTAATCAACAAAATTTGCAACACACAGTTCGCATGATTTCTTTCAGGTGTCTCTAGAATAGTTGAGAAGCGAAGAAGGTAGGCAGAAAAACTTGACCGTCGGTCTTCATTTATCAATTTCTTTAGGCAAAATTGCCAATGCACTTAGAATTCCAAAATAGGATCAATACGTTTTTCTTTCCGAAATAGGAGTTACTACCTTTCAAGCTTGTGCGATGCACGGGCAATATGTAATTTAGCTAATTTGAAATTTAGTTTCTATCGAATCACATATAATGTGCATTAAAATAAAAATAAACTTAGTCTAATATAGAGTCTGTTTGATAATACTAAAGTAAATAGAATTAACTTATTTTGCTGAAATTGATTGAATTTTAGTTAAATAAGTGGAATCTTCTGAATCATGAAAAATATGTGAAATATATTCCATTTGTGAAACAAAGAAAAAAATATATGAAAAAAAGTTAAATTGGTCTTCTACATAAGCATCTCAAGTAAATATAATTGTTATGAACCCAATAATAAAAAAAATCTATTTCTTAATTGTTAGATCTTACAGTTTACTCATTAATAAGAACGTTTTTAATTGAATTAAAATTTCGGGTTTGATTTGGTATGAATTAATATGGTCTATTAGATGTCTGTTTTTTATGTGACTTATTGTTATACTATGTAATTATTAAAGTTTGATCTGATCTGATTTAATCTGGAACTGAAATTAATCCAATTAAAAACATTCTATTAAAATAAAAGTAGGAATTCGTAAACCTATAAAGATTTTCTAATTTGGATTAGGAATCTATTTCAAAAGTAAAGGCATATTTGAATTTTAGGTGTAAAATAAAGAAACAACCAAAAAAAATTACTTATTTGGCTAAGCTAAACATATTTACTTGTGAAAATATGTATACTTTATGTTGGTTATAATTTTTAATTTCATTTTTAATTATTTACTTATTTGAATCTTACTTATTTATTAATAGGTGTCAAATTAATAAGTAAACTAATTTGCATATTTGTTTCTATTTAATTCGGTGTAGTAAACTAATATAAATTAGTTTCCATATCAATAAACGTAATTAGAATTTCACTTTGATAACCAAAAATTATTTTACTTATTTGAAGCTTACCAAATTAATTAAGGTGGATTTATAAGGATTTTTGTTTCCATATCAATATGCAATCAAAAATAGAATCTAATAAAAACAAAAGGTATAAAAATAAGTAAATAATTGTTATACATAATGACATGACATGATTATGTGGCGCTTTGTATGCTTTTAAAAAGTTCATCTTTTGTATATATATATATATATATATTGATTATTGTCATATATGAAAAATACTGTCATTAGTTATAATAAATATTGTCATGTTAAATGCACTGTACTGCAACTATTTGGCAATCACGGCTACAAGATGACATTAAATACTGTCCTGTTAGTCCCATTTCGGGAATAAAAACTTAGTAGTCATATTTTGGAATTTCAAATTTCATTTACTCCTATTTTGGGAAATCTCTTTTTTCCTAATAGAATAGAAGGCTTATTAAATAACTTCCTAAATTACAATCAAATTTAGAAACTTATTTATTCTTACAATTATGATTTTCACCATATTATTTATATATGCTTATATTTGATCAAATGATGTTTATTTTTTCTTGATGCTTCAAATCGTGGAAATCTAAACTTACATCTTCACGCACAATTTTGTAATGGCGAAATGCATATAAATAATCCCTACTTTTAATGATTCTACATTAATAATTCATACCGAATGAATTAATAAAAATAATCTGAACTCTTAAACCTTTTGACAAAAACAGTTGAAAGTAATCGTTACTAACTGTTCCGTTATAATCTCATCCCGTCGACCACTCCCTATCTCTCCAGTGCACAACTTCTTCTTCCCATGATTATTTTTATCCTCTAATCTATCATCTTCTTCACTATATTCTCTGCAATTCTTCAGAATCACATAAATTCTTCCCGTCGCCCTTCAATTCTTCAGAATCATTCATCACATTCATCTACCCCTATTTTCTTGTTCATCTTGCAAACCCTAAATCTATGCAATATTTCTTCTAAATCATGACCTTTTGTAATTCTAAGAAAGCAAGTTCAATATATGGTCCATCACTAAATTACACGCCGTTGAAGACAGTAACATCCGGAGCAAACAAGGGATATAGGTTTTACGGTTGTCCTTTATGGCAGGTACGGTTCAACTGTAATACCCCGAAAATTTGAGAGAATTTGGGAAATAATTAAAATTGTGTTTCATATTGTTTACACGGTCTTTAGGTCGTTTTTTATGTTTGGTTTAGTGTTTGGGACAAAGGGGAGGTCCAAATGGGGAAGAAACGGGGCAAAAACTAAGGTTTGGGGCGTCTGGGGGTCACGCACGGCGTGCGTGGAAGGTACGCACGCGTGCGTTCTTGTTGTATCCTAATGCAACTCAAACTTCGGAAATTCACTATAAATACATCCCTAATCCGAATTTCCTCATTCCAAAAACCCTATGACCGCCTCTTCAAGCTCTATCCCTTCCATATCTTCAATATTAACGTATCCAGCATGAAATTTTATGCCAATGATGAGATCAAACAATCCAATATTCTGGTAAGTGTGTTTGTTGCCTAATTCGCGTCGTTCATCCGTTTCCTAAATTTCTTTCTCCTAAATTGAGATCCTTCGAACCTATCACTTCCTAGGTACGTGCGAATGATCCATCAAACTAGGTTTGACGTTTAGGATTCGTTGCTAGCCTCGAGGTAAGGACTATTGCAACCAAAATGACTATTTTGCCCCTATATTGTATAAACTAGGGTTTGGGCTATGATTTGAGTTTCTTTCTGAAATTTTATGGATAATTCGGCTATAATAGTATGAGTATGATGATGTATGCTTTTCTGGGAATTTATGAACATGTGATTTTTGGTGAATTTATCAAATCAGTTTATCATGGCTAAAATTGTGATTTTTGATGATTGTTCTTTTGGGATTGGAAAATTTTGGTGATTGTTTTGGTATGAGTTGAAGAATGATTTGAGACTATTATAACTGGTTATATTGAAAATATATTATGGGTTCAGAATACTCGAATTTGATTATTTTGGTTGTAGTAGTAAATGCTACTTTTGGGAAGTGGTTGTTTGGGTTAAACCCTCTTTTTGGAAAGTGTTGTGAGATCAAATCTTTTGGGATAAATTATATATTTTTAAATGTATAATTTGGTGTGAAAATTTACATATATATTCTGGAGTTATAAATATCCTTATTGGATTATTTTGAATATGGTATTAAATACTATTTTGGAACTAGTTTTGGATAAACCCTAAATTGTAAGTTTCTCTGCCAATCCAAAATTTGTTTCCTCGTATTATATGCTTATTATGCATTATGTGATTAAGTGTGAATTGTGAATTTTGTGTATGTGATTTTGAGGAGATATTATATATATGGTAGTTGAGAAATATAAATTAAGTACTTTTGGGGTTTTAAATACTTTTAAACACCTTTTAGACTATTTAGAGAGTTTGGAAAATATTTTGAAGTGTATCTTGATTCAAGATGAAAATTAACATTTTCATAAGAGGTGAGCACCCCGGGAGAAATCCGTGGTGTCGGTTTTTCACATCCGGATAAATGTGGAGGATGGTTAGGGCTACTACTACTTGAAGAGAACAAGTTTAGTGACCGTTTCGATTTAAGAGATATTGATGGGAACTGAATTCCGGGATGAGTTCGTAAATAACAACGACTCATTGGGCTTCGGGCATAAGTATCCGAAAGTACCGCCCATCTTAAAAGAAAGTAGGAGATTTTGGTTTTGGAAAGAGGAAGACTATGGATGTTATTTTCAAAGAGCAATTGAGTATATTTAAAAAGAGTGATTAGCTATAAATTATATTTTGAAAAGTGATACTTGTATATGAATGTGTGAGTTACTAAGAGTTTATAAATATTATTTTAAACACCGAATTAGTTTTGTGGGAAGAAAATGAATTTTTAAAGTTATAGTTATGTATAAAACTATTTTCGCCAAACGTGATTATTTTACGGGGTTGGGTGGGCCTTACTTAGCTAAAAAGCTAATTTTTGTTTCCTTTTCTTTGTTTTGTTTTCTGCACTTTAATTGTGCAGGTGATGAAGGTTATGCATGATGATGAGAGCTGCGTTAGATCACGTAGTTTAGTATTTATAATCACCTAGTTATTGTTTATTTCAGTTTGAGGACATGTAGACATTTAAATTATTTTTGAAATTTTCAGTACTTAAATACTTGGATTATTTTTGGATGGTGGTTTAGCCTGTGCATTCGGTTATGTGAGAACCGAGTGTGGCGGTAACACCCATTTCCCTATTAAGACTTCCGCTGTATCTCTGATGTTTTCAAATAAAGTTGATAATTCCTTTGAATAAATCATTATTAAAATGTATTTTTGGTTGGGGAAAATGGGGGTGTTACATCAACCCTGTCTAACAGCTGCAGGCTTCATATGCATAAGTGGATAACTTAAGAAAACAAAAGGTATGAATAATCAATCATATCTAAACTGTATTATACCTTAGAACTAAAATAATATACTTAATCTTTTTATTGATTAACTAATCAAATAGTAATGGAGATTTGACAGTTGCAAATCTATAGAGAACAAAACATAAACTTTGGGGTGAATTATACATATTCAAAGCTAGAACGCATGGTACTTTAGAACAAACTGCATATTCCATCCCTTAATTATTTAGTGTGTTCCATTAGTTTACTTATAGCAACAACCTAATTTATGTTTTTTTATTTGCAGACTGGTAATTGCAACTTCTTTTTATGGAAGCATGATGCAAAGAAGATGGAGAATATGATGCCAACGGATGCAGAAAAATTCACAATTTTGAAGGAGAATGAAAAGCTTAAAGAAGATTTGGACAAAATGAAAGTTGAGAACAAAATGTTACTGGAGAAAATTTGTAAACTTAGAGTGAAGAAGAAATTTTTAAAAGTTGAAGGTAGGAGGGCCTCAAAGGCAGAAAAAAATGCATGTGTGTTGTTGTTTTATTTGGATTTGTAATTGTCATTGTATATTGTCCATTTTGGTTGGTAGAGTGTGAGAATATTATCAGCATTTTG